TTCCCTAATTATAGTGGTACTGACTATTTAGAAAACAGATTTACATTAAATTAAACTTTATGAATAAATATTTTCAGTTTCTTCATTGTTTTAATTGGGACATGTTCAAATATAAGAGAGAAAAATGTGAATGTGAACAACCTTTCACTTTATTCATTTTTTATTTTGGTTTTGGAACTCTATAGGTTTTGATTGATTTATTGAATATCTTTTATAGTAGTTATGGGAAATTAGCATAGCTACTGCATTAAATGTCTGAAGACTTGAAACTGCTTAGTCCTTTAACAGATGCAGCATGTGTGCTCCCTTCAAAGAATGATGTTAGGTAATTTTGGTCTGCACATTGCTCAAAAAGACAACTTTAGCCTCCATCTACCTCCCTTGCATGGCCTATTGGCAAGGCCTCCTGTGGTGTAGTTTGGTCTTTCACACAATTAAAGAAAGTGTAATTGAATCCTTCACATTTTCTATAAAATGTTTCCACTTTATTGATACAATTAATGTGTTCAACAAATGCTACATAAAATTTTCAAATCTTTACCATATATTTCATATACATGCTATACAATCAATGGGTTCAGTTGTTGCTAAGATCACTCAGATCTTGATAAGCACTTTGACACAATCTGGTTGCTTCAGTAGGTCAAATGCTTGATCTATTTCATCCAATGAAATTTCATGAGTTAAAAGCTCATCCAGATTGATCTCCTTGTTAGCACATTTGTCTACAACAATGGGTAATTCAGACTTGGTTTTTATCCCTCCAAAAGTATAACCCTTCACAGTTCTACCCTACAAGAGTGTCGAAAACAAGACCTCCATAGCCGGCTTAGGACATATGCCAATTTGTACCAGAGTCCCTCTTCCCGGTTTAATGGCTTCTAGGGCCTCTGCCACCAATGGTGGAGCTCCGGTGCATTCAAAGCAATAGTCTACACCACTTCCTCCGGTTCCCTCCTTGATTAGTTCCGCGATAGATTTATCATATTTATCCGGAATGATAAAATCACTCATCCCGAAAACCTGTCATTTTGTAGCTTTCACTTCATTTTTGTCAATGCCAATGATTCTAGATGCTCCTTGCATACTAGCCCCTTGTATCACGCCCAATCCAACCGTGCCAAGACTAAACATTGCAACGGATGAGTCCTCTCCGGCCTTGCATTCCTTCCACAGTGCACCTAATCCAGTTGTGAAGCCACACGAGATTAAGCTAGCATGTGCCAATGGCATATTTGGATGATCAATCTTAACAACATAGTTAACATTAGCAATTGTGTACTCTGACCATGTGGAAGAGCTAAATAGGTGGTACAACTTTTGGCCTCCGAGAGACATTCTTGTAGTGTTGTCAGGCATTAGACCACGCATAGTGTAAGGTTCTTGAATTTTGTCATTTTCCAATTTATGAAATTTTCTAATTTTCGGGGGTATTTTTGTCTTTTTCTCATTTTGTGTGCCGGACATCGTGGGGTGTGCCGACAGTGTTCGAGAGTTGGGTGGGACATTTCCTTAAGTTCAGGACTCTTGGAAATGCACCGGTTGTCATTTCAACTTTTCTCCGTTTTTCGGGTCGGATAATCTCGGGTGGACCCACTACCGGAATCGTTGTGAACGGGAATTTTATTTTGGGTTCATTGCATATCATACGTAATTATTTTGTGCATATTCAATGTGGTTGTGTGCCATTTTGTATAGTTATATGCACATATGTGTGTGTAGTGGGAAATAGAAAGAAAAAGAAAAGTCAAAAAGAAAATTTTGTAATGGGACCCACCATTAGAGATTTTGTGACCAAGAGACCAACATTGGCCTCATTCTCCTTCTCTCACCCGCACTAGCTCTCTTTCCCTCTTTCCTCTTCTTTTTTCTTTTCTTTTTGGCTTCAAGCTTCAATCTTCAATTACTTTTTCGTCTTTTGAAAATTTTGGGTGCCGTTTGCGGCAAATCGAAGAGCTCGGCAAGATCTTCAGGTTGATGTAAGCAATTGCAACTTTGGTGCATCCTAGGAATTTCAAAAATTAAGGCTTTGATTTGGAGTTTTGGGGGTTTTCATCTCCATTGAGGTAAGGGTGTTCTAATGCACGATTTCTTGTGCTTTTGTGAGTTTATAACTTGAATTGATGTCTAGCATGTTCAATTAGTATAAATTCTTATAAAAATTGCTTAAATGATAGGTATGGAATATATGTGACTAATTGTTAGTTGTTTTATTATATTTAAATATGCTTACATGAAGTTAAATCCATATCTTATATGCTTGTTATGCAAAGTTGATGTTAAATGAGAATTTTAGTTATGTAGTTTAGAAATTTGCTTTATATAGCATGTGTGAGAGTTTTATGATGAAATTGATGAATTTAAGTATGAAACATTCCATGCATTTATTGGGACAGAAAAAGGGGAAAAATGTCTTTAAAATAAGTGAAAATTATTTTGGGAAAAGTTTTCTAAAAGTAATTGCGAAAACCCGGACGCCTAGGAGGTGCCTAGTGGTTCGTGGTGTTAGTGTAGTCTAGAGGGGAGTTTAGTTGAGCTAACCAGGCCAGATGCGACGTCTTGGAGGTGCCTTGTAGTCATGGATGGTTAGCCAATCCTCCTTTCATGACACATTGGAGGTGCCTTGGGTAGGGTTACACTAACGGTTTGAAAGTTGAAACGGAAATGTTTCGGACATGGGGAGTGATATTTGCATGGCATTGCACTTTATTAGAATATTTGGTATGTATGTGTTTGGGTAACAATTGTTATATTCTTGTCGCTGTAGCTGTTGCCATATACCCCTATGCTATAATCCCGTTTTCTTTTACCTATTCTTTACGTGGATTCACGAGGTTACAAGAAGTGTGTCTTAGACATTTCCTACTGAGCGTTTAGCTCACCCCATATTTTTTAACATTTTCAGGTTCGGGAAAAGAAGTGGCGGGCGACAATCCACCACAGTCTTAGTTTGGATTAGAAGAATGTATCTTTTTGCTACCTTTTGTATTAGGCCTCATTTTGTAAGGTGTTGACCCAAAGTGTATCATTTTGCAGCATGTGAAGTATTTAGTTTCATTTTGTACATGGCCATTGGGGAAATGTAATTATGTTTATTTACACTAAATCATTTAGTGTATTTTATGTAACGTGTTGTAAATTATGTTAACATTGTTATTGCTAATGTATTAGATGTTAAAATGTATTTAAATGTGTACGTGAGCGTAGTGGCGTGGGTGATTGGTTATCAATGTTGGTGTATCTCGAATAGTGAAAATTTTCGAGTTTAGATAACCCAGAACCGGTTGACGTAAAATTCCCACACGTCAACCGGATGACCTGAACCAGTTGACGTGAAATTCCCATACGTCGACCAGTATCTTGGCAGTAACTTTTTCACTGTACATGTCTTTAACCAGTCGACGTATAGCCTCCAACGCGTCGACCGGTATCTTGGCAGTGAGTTTTCCACTGTGCACATCCCAAACTAGTTGACGTGTGACTCCCCATACATCGACCGGTTCCTGTGTAGTAAACATTTGTGACTTATTTTCCCATTTTGCCCTTGACCACTCACTCAAGTGTATTCTTACACATTATAAGGTCTAGTAAAATACAATAATTATATTTTAGCCATGGGAATGACTATATTGCCCGGACTTTATCTTGTTTATTATGTGATTCAAGTAAATGACTATTTTGCCCTTTGAATCTCTGACCATTAGAATTGTGATAAATGACCATCTTGTCCTTGTTGGACTTTAATATACAAATTTAACGTGAAAGAACCATATTACCCTTGGATGATTTTGGGTCGGGTAAAGACCCGTTTGATGATCCGGACCCAGTGGATTTAGGTCGTTACACATAGGCATAGGATATATTGTGCACACATTGGTTTGTCCTGACTTGCAATTCTCACATTGCTTGCACTCTCCGAGAAATGTGGGGATGACGTGGTCTCCTTCTTTGAACTCTATGACTCCCGCGCCCACGCTCTCCACTACCCCAACACCCTCATGCCTTAGAGCTGCTGGGAACATTGGGAATGGGAGCCCATTGGAGCATAGGATGTCGGAGTGACAGAGGTTGGCGTAGAGCATCTTTATCTGAACTTCTGATAGTTTTGGTGGCTCTATTTCTACCTCTTCCAACCTTACTGGCTCCCCTTTTGCCCTACACATTGCGGCTTTGCAGTTTATGACTCGTGAGCTGCTCGTTGACATTGTTCTGGAATGATAATTCCTGTTCAAGAACTTGTCAATGGACTGATCTCGGGTTGATTGTGATGTTCCTGCAGCAGAGTAGTTTCGAGAACCGAGTGCGGATGTGCATCCTGACATACCATTCCTCCTCAAGCTAGAGCTCGTTCCCTGCATCTATCATAATAATCTCTTGGATGCATCAAAGTGATTTCGGCTCTGACTTTGCACAAACCGGGAAAGAAAGCTCACAGGATACATGATTTGATGTTTGATGATAAACTCACAATCAGATTTATTTTTTATTTTTTAAAATTTTAGTAATGGTGATATTCTTGCATGATGCACCACAATATACAAGCATGGCATGCATGTTTTGGGATTGTTAGCTAATTATAGCCAATCTGTCAAAAAAACAGAATCAAACCTAAAAAATTACAAGCTTTTTTTAGGAAAGACAAGTCAAAGTTAAATTAGCCAGTCTTTTACAATGAACTTATCTGGATTTGAAATGTTGGTTATCCCCAATTCAATGGCATCATTAGATAGGTACAAATTAAAGTGATATATGTTGATTAAAAATAATTAACTTGTGCTATCAAAATATTAATTTTGTGTGGTCTAGTATTGCCAATTTTTAATATACTGTTGCTAATTTGGGTAGTCAACTACCACAATAGATCAAGGAAGGATTTGACTTGTTTCCTAACTACCACAATTCTTAATATATTAATTTAGTAATGTTTGACCAATGTTGGCATGGTAAACATTACTTTTTATTTTTCTTTTGATGAAGGAGAATATATATATATATATATATATATTTGTGTAAGGTAATGAATTTGTATTGATAAACAGAAATGTGCATAGCTCCAAACAAACTCACAAAGCTCAGCAGAAGCTACACAGCAGCACCCAGAAGACAAAATAAACAGCAGACACAGTACATTAACAATCTGGGAACCATCTGATCTCGAAAGAAAAGGTCCGAAAAGAGGCACTAAGTGAAGCTCAACAGCGTAAGAACGGAACAACACCAAAACAACCAACTTCTCTCCCATCTATTGGACTTTTGGAATCAGTTCTTCGAAGGAGGAGAGATTCTGATATATCTGAACCCTTCTCGGTAACACGAACATAAGATTAGGACAGAATGGAATTTTCTAAACGTTGGATAGACATAAGATCGATGTTGTCAGCCTCGTGTCCTTTAACTGCAATGTTGGTAAAACTGCAGTATTATCAGTTCTCTTGGTACACTAAAAGGATGCAGAAGGTTTCAAGCAATTTTCTTAGACAAAACAATTATTTTAAGGGAATTGATTTAGTCCCTGCCTCGGGTTTTCCATTTTTTCATATTTAGTCAAGCAATTCTCTTTCACAATTTTTCATTTTTTTTTTCCCAACAATTAAGAGAATGACAGTTCATTTTTCATTGTGTTGGATTAATTTTTTTTTTTCGTTAATGTTACATGGTAGGAAAAATGTAAGAATTTCACACTTGAGCTGGTTCATAAAAGTGATAAAAATTTTTAATCTAATAAGATGTCTCACCTTTGAGGTTAAGCAATACGAATATGAAGAAGAAGAAGACTGCCAACTAATTCAATGATGTGCTGATCAAGCTACCCCATAACACAAGCCGAAACCGAAAATTTGACGTTTCCTGAGAAGTTAAAAAGGAAATATAAGATAATGGTAAACAATAGTTTCAATAGTATCGTCTCCTTTCTAAAAGAATAGATATATAAGAAGAAGAAAAGAAAGAAACAAATACAAGAGCACATTATTACTAACTTGTACGTAGTTGCAATTCGTATAAATGGAATGTGCATTCTTTGTCCACCTAGTCTTGTGTAATTGTCCCAAACAAAGTAACAAAATAAATAAATCAACTTAACTTCAAAAAAAAAAAAAAAACAGAAGAGAGTGAGAGTGAAAATAAATGAATTCTGGGTGATCAATGAATTCATAACATAAATGATGGATTTAGCTTGAGTATCACTATTATGGTTGAATATAAACGTATGGGTGATTTAATTCTGAGTTGTTGTAATGGAACACTATTTATCAAATGAGTAACTTATTCTAAAAGGTGTCTCACAGATTGCATTAGCACAAAACAATGGAACAAGAATCATGCGAATGCTAACGACCTAACTAATGGAAGACCATGTGAATGAACACTAAAATTGTCATACGATAGAAAAATGAAGGCAATTTAAGAATTATTGTTACCATTAGCGAACTCTAGAGTTTAAGTGCACCACGTGAATAAAAGTAACAAGGAAATGTTGCTGAGCATACTTGCTGAGATTCGAGCCACAAAACAGTATTCCGGTCATTGACTAACCATAGTTGGGTTTGGATGCACTTCTCTAGCCTTTGCCGGTTGGGCTAGATGTTGTGAAATTAAACAGAAAACACAGAAAAGAGATCAAACACACACAAGTACAAACAGATTTTTACTTGGGTTACCTAAAGAATCAGGGTTACGTATAAGGGTTGAAAGAATTTCACTATGATGATCAAAACAACAGCGGATATAGAAAGTTCAGAATGAATAAATACCCTCACACTAGGGCAACATAATAAATACGAAAATTCCAAAATACTCTCCAAAAAATTCAAGAGTTAGGCCTTGGTGGGCTCCACACTATCCATCACTGAATGTGTTAAGGAACATATTACCTCCCGTCTAGGGATGACAATTTACCCCAACCCGGTGGAGAATTGCCCCGCTTCAACCCCATTTAAAGCGGGGTTTGGAGAACCGTTTATTTAAATGGGGTGGGGATGGGGGATGAAAAAAAAAAAAAAAGGGGGGGGGGGGGGGGGGGGGGGGCAGATTTGGGGTGGGGAGGGATACTCCCGCCCTGCAACCGCTTGGATTACATATGAAATTACTCCTATTAGCTCCCTACCATGTTATTGTACTTACCGATTTAACATATTATATATATATCCACACTTCTAAATAAACCCTCCTCATTCCTATCTTTTAAAGCGGGGCGGGGCGGGGATGTGGCAGGGGGCGGTTATGGAGATTAGGGGTAAAAAAATAATCGGTTATGAAACGGTTTTGGGAGTGCCAAATTTAAACGGGGATGGAGATGGGAAATAAGAAACCGGCTCCAACCCGCCCCATTGCCATCCCTACTCCCGTCCCTATGAAGCAAACTTATAATGTCAACCACTATGAATATTAGAAGTCTGGGTTGAGAACTAGGAAAACCACTCACATAAGCACATAAAGACGACGCCAAGTTCATCAATCATTTCCCCACAATGGAAGACCCATGGTCCGACTAGACAACCCAAATAATTAGTTGTAAAGCACAATTGGAAACAATCTCCAGTAAGTGCATAAGACTCTTTCTTCTGAGATGTTGTCTTAGACTACTATTAACACTTACCCCTACAGCCTTGGCCAATTGCTTTGTGGCTGCTCATGCTCGATGGTCTTTATAATCGCCCTTTTGGTTGCTTCCACCTTGTTTCTTCGATCCTGTAAATTTGCATAAACTTCATATTAATATGCTGAACAAAACAAGTTACAAATTTATATCAAGCGAGGGAACAAAAGTCCTGCATTGAAGATGCATGCCCATTGTACACCTTTATCTGTTGTTCATACATGAGTTCTGGCAGAAATTAACGAATAACTGCATTTTGTTTTTCAAGATTGATATTTAGTGGTACAAATTGAACATTTGACATTTCTTGAGAAGGTGAAAAAGAAAAAAAGAAAATAATGTTTAAGGACAATTTCAAAGGTATCATCTCCTTTTATCTACATTCATAGAAGTTGCACAAGCAAAAAAAGAAATACAAGAGAGGACAATTACTCTTTGGTAATTGCAATTCATAGAATGAGTTGTGCTATCTTGTTTGTTTCAAGCAATGACTCGGCCACTCAGTCCTGTGAACATGTTCCCTAAAAATAAATAATAAATAAATAAAATCAATCGTAGTTTATATATAGAGAGCAACAATGAACAAAAAGATAGAGAATAAGATTCAGTTTTATGGTAATAAAAAAACTCAGATCCGAAAGGATGGATTTACCTTGTATGTCAGCCCCAGGGTGAAACAGAAACATTTGGGATGTGAGCAATCATTGGCCAGTCTTCCTCTGATTCTTTCCGGAATCTATCATAAAACAAGTCAGAAACAAATTTTACTTTTGAGTTGTTGTAATGCAGTTAGTGATATCAATTTGGGGCAGGTGTGAATGAAAAGTCATTCAAGTGATGTGAGGTTGCCTATCTTTGTAAAATGCAGGCAGAAAAAATGGAAGAAAATTTGTATATTGACCTGAATCAGTAACTGCATAACATTCTTTCCCCTGACTCACTTCCGTTATACATAATCTTGTCTAGACTGCTAATGGGCATCCCTACAGCCTTGGTCAATTACTTTGCGGCTGCTCATGCTCGCTGGTTGTTGTAGTCATGCAATCGGCTGCTTCTACCCGCTGTTTCTTCCTGTAAATTTTCTGAAATTTTATGCTAATCAATATGAAAGGAAGATAATTGCATACTAAAGAGCTATGTGAATTGTGCTTAAAGTTGGATTGCTCAATGTAGCTTAAAGATCATGGCAGATATGTTCGAAGCTAACTCTTGGAACTTGGGAGTTGAAGAAACTTAGTAGTAAATAATGAAGACCTGCATTTTGTTGTTATATCCTGTGATTGAGGCTGCCCTTGTAAGACAAATCCAATTATGTGCTCATGAGGCTGCCCTAGAACACCTGCACAAACTGAACATTGGACATTTTTTGGGAAGGTGAAAGAGAAAAAATAAGTTAATGGTAAATGACGATTTCAATAGTACCATGTGCATTGATGGAAGTTGCACAAGCAAAAACAAACATATATAATGAAGATCTACATTTAGTTGTTGCATTGTCCATTTGAATATATTTTTATTTAATATCATATTTCTCTAAAAAAAATAATAATAATAAAGTTATTTTACCTTCATATTTAATTGACAATTAATGATAAGGTGTAAGATGCAATTTTTTTTTTTTTTTTTAGTTCAGCGAGGTCACTTTTCGAAAAAATAATTTAGAAATTATGTGTAGTAAAGAAAAGTTAATGTTTGAATTTTGAAAGTCCGACAATTCCAGCTAATTGATGTTATTAATATTAAATTAATTAAATTTGTTTGGCTATGAAACTTTTTTTCTAATGAAATTAATTAGGTATTCCCGTTATTCTAGGAGTCTGGTTTCAATCATTTACATCTACCTCCGTTAATCACTACTCTAATATTCTTGACATAAAAAAATAATAATAATTAAAAAAAACCTTATATTTTACGGTTTTTACCGGGTGAACATGAATACAATTACTATTTTTTCCCAAAACCAAACTTTGATTATTCTTTTAATAACGAATATAAAAGTAAATAAACAAATAACGCCGATTACTCTCTTGTCTCAGTTATCCTAGAAAGACAAAATTGGGTCGGCAACACTGTCCTCCCCATCGCCCATCACGTGGCGGTGGCACGGATGCTCCCAATTGTAAGGTTTTACAAACCTGCCTTCACGTGCTTCCCATGTGACTGACCCCTCTCTCTCTCTGTCTTCTTGTGTGTGTGGGCGGCTCTAAATTCAATTGAACTCCAGGGCCTTTATGCGGTGATTCTCAAAAAGTTAAGGGCATTATTATTTAAAATTATAATTTAAACCGAGCATAACCTAGTTCATATGAAGATTTGCATTTAGTTGTTGCATCATCATGATAGTCAAGCAAAAAGACTTGGATTGCCTATTAAATGGAAATAATACAATCTTGAAATTTTTAGTACGTAATGCACAGACCTCGTTTCATTATTCCTTATAGGCAATTTGTCATAACCTAATGTATACCATGAAAACTAGGGCAAAATTTACTTTAAGGAAATTAATTTAGTCCCTGGCCTGCGTGAGTAAATTATTCTAATAATTTTTTTTTATTTTTATTTTTTTTTTTTCCTTTCACGATTTTGAACACTTTTTTTCAACATTTAAGAGAATGATAGTTCATTTTTCAGTTGTGTTGGATTATTCATTTTTTAATGATAGTTCATTTTTTAGTTATCGAGAAAAAAAAAATAAAAAAAAAGGTAAAAATTTCACAAGCTGGTTTATAGAAGTGATAAAAATAATTTAATTTAATAAGATGTGTGGCCTTTGAGATTAAACAATTTGAATATGAAGAAAAATAAGACTTAAAACCAATTGAATGATGTGCAGATCAAGCTAACTAATCCACAAATGGGAATTTGGCATCCCCTAAGAAGGCGAAGAGGAAAAACAAGATAATAGTAAGGGAGAGAATGTCGACAGTATCATCTTTTTCTAAAAGTAAAGAAATAAAATCAGTTAAACTTGAAGAGAGTGAGAGAGAGAAATTGAACAACAAGGGAGAAGAATAGGATGGATTTACCTTTGATATATTAACACGTGAGATGTGAGCAATCTTTGGCCAATCTTCCCTTGTTTCTTTCTGGCATCTATTATGTAAATCATCGGTGCATGATTCAATTGTGAGTTGTTGTAATGCAATGAGCTGACGCATCCCATCGGGCAGTGATATCAATTTGGGGCAGTACATAATTTCAATGCGTTCAAGTGAAGTGAGGCTTAGAAACGACTCTTCGGGGAGAGTAAATAGATAGTGAATGTTGGATAAAGACACAGACTTTTGTTAGACGTTGAATGTTACATATTTTAACCCATTTACTTGCAAGTTTTATTATCTTAATGATAGTTTATTTGTGATTTTATATTGTTTTATTATTTTTTCTTATTTCAGGGCTTTAATTGTAAAATCAGTCAACACCAGTAATTCTAAACTTTACAAGATGACTTTTCGTGGGACCGAGTAATGTTGAAAATCCAGGTCTAATTATACTTAGAAAATAGTCCAAAAGAAGCTACAAGTTGATGAGAATGGAAAGAAGAAGAAAAGGAAAAATCCTTCTCCAAAAAGGAAATTTTCGCCAAAGTTAGTAACTTAAACCCGTTTTGGTAATCTGGCTGTATCTCTCTCCTCTTTCCTTGAACGTCAAAACAACTAAATTCTCGTGTAGGTTGATAGGAAATTCAAAGAGCTACAATTTTGTGTTTCACGAGCTTTCCCTAAAATAACTGTTTACCTTGTCAAAATTGGTTTAGAAGTCTGCACAAATTTTGGGAGTCCTTATTCGACAGAATTTTTATGTATGTATCCAATATGAAAAAGGGAACTTTAGGGCTGATCTTTTATTATTTAAAGGGGGTCCTCTACAACATTGAAGGATCATACAAAGGAGCTTGAGGCTGAGATCAGAAAGGAGTAATCAGAAGAAAGAAGAGATCGATCCATGGCAGTGAAGATGTCTTCCTCAACCATAAAGAACTTCACTCCAATCATGCTTGGCTAAAGGTTTTGCTAGGGTTGTGATGTAGCCCTAGCTTAGCACCCTGGTTTGATTGTATTTAATTATTGGAGAATAATTTTTATCATGCATGATTGTGTAATCTATAGGGTTCTCTAACTGAATTTTCAATCAGAATCAGTTTTAAAGTTTTAATTCAATTACAAATATTTTTCTATCTTGTCTTAGATACTTTAATCTTGTGATTGAGCATAACTCATTCGCTTCTTGTAGTTGTGAATGAGATGATTACACAATGGTATTTCTCTGAATATAATGTTAGAGATTTGAAGGATTATGCCTAGAAAAGATAGACCATGCTACACCCTAGAGTAAAGTAGTTAAGTAGATGGTTTTTACTAATCGAAGATAGTCCATACTTAGCTTTGAATTACATTATTTTCTAGCTGAATTAATATGCGCTTGTAGCCATGATTAATTCCCTATGCATGTTATATGATATATCTCCAATAAATTGATACAATTAACTGGTGGTGCGACGTTAGTGGTGAAGTCATACCCCTAGTCCTCTCTCTCTATTTTCTACATCATATTTAATCATTGTTCTTTAGTTTATTTTCCTACTTAGTTAATTCAGAATTAATCAGAGAAATTCGATTATCCTACTTTCAAGTTAATTTTGGAATTTAAGAAATCTATTGACAAACTTAATTTACACAAGTCCCTTGGGTACGACACCCGTACAAGTAAACCCTATCTGCAAAGATTCGTGCACTTGCGAGTGGTACATATAAATCTCACAACAAGTTTTTGGCGCCGTTGCCAGGGACTTGTTTTAGTTCTTGACAGATAATATTAAATTCTACCATTAATTTCAATTAGGATCTTAGTTTAAGATTTTATTTTATTTTATTTTGATACTGTTTTCTTTTAATTATTGCAGGTGACATTATATGCTTGGTAGACATTCTTTGTCACTCCCTCAGCTTCCGTTAGACCCAGAAATTGAAAGAACTCTCAGAAACTTGAAGAAAGAAAAGATGGCAGATGATTTACCAATTGCAGAAACAGTTCGCTGTTTAAAGGATCACTACAAACCAGGTGCATATAACTCTTCATCTGCAGTTCGGTATCCTGAAGTGAAGGCCCCTCACTACGAAATTAAGGCCAGTACTCTTCAGTTACTGCCTTCTTTTTACGGCCTATCAAAAGAGGATCCATACCAGCACTTGGATGACTTTGCAGAGGTGTGCAGAACAATAAAAATCCAGAGTTTTGACGATGATGTGCTCAAGCTACACCTTTTCTCCTTTTCATTGAAAGACAAGGCCAAGGATTTGTTTATTCATTGCCAGCCGACACCATCAGTACATGGGCTGAATTGTAACAAAAGTTTTTAAGCAAGTACTTTCCCATGGTGAGAACTACTCAATATCGAGATGCTATTACTCGTTTTGCTCAAGGGCCTGACGAGCCTTTTCATGAGGCTTAAGAAAGATTCAGAGACCTCATTCGGAAGTGTCCTCATCATGACATGCCAAAATGGCAGCTTGTCAACTTCTTTCATAAGGGGCTCAATGAGGCACAAAGGTATATGGTGGATGCCTCTTGTGGTGGAAATTTTATATTGAAAAGTGTAGAGGAAGCATGGCAACTCTTCGAAAATATATCTGATAATTCTACACAACATGTCTTACCTCCAGTAGCAAGACCTCTTACCATATTGAGGAGATCAGAAGGTGTGAATGAAGTAGGGATAAATCAAGGGCTAATGAGCCAAATTGAGCCATTAACCAAGAAGGTTGATCAATTAATGACTTCACAGTCAAATTTTATTCCTCCTGCGACTAATGTTCAAGGCTTTGAAGTGTGTTCTTTCTATTCCAGTCCAACTCACCATGTGTCCATTTGTCCAAGTGCATCTCAATATTCAGAAATTCCACAAGAGCAAGTTAATGCTACATATGGAAGGCCCGGAGGGAATAATATGTATTCAAACATTTACAATCCGGCTTAGAGAAACCATCCTAACTTCTCATGGAGAAATCCAGCCACAGGGACATCAGCTCATTCACCTCAAGTACCTCAAGTGTAAGGCAATTTTCAATCCCCAGTTCAGACTTTAAATCCTCAAGGATTCACTCCTGTGAATGCCTTCGATCAACCTCAACAATTCTTATCAATGCTCGAGGCAATGATGGTAAAGCAGTTAGAGCCAACTAATCAACTTGTGCAGTCTCATTCTCAATCCCTTGCCAAGTTAGAGACTCAAGTTGGCCAACTAGCTTTAGCCTTGAACAGAAGAGAGGATGGCAAGGTTCCTAGTCAACCAGTAGCTAATCCAAGAGGTGTGCGTATAATTGATGACATTACTGGCCAAGAAGTTCACCATAAACAAGTGCAAGCAATTACTACTCTGAGAAGTGGTAAGAAAGTTGAAAATAAGGT